TTACAGCGATTTTCGCCTATAGAGGCGGCTCTTGCCATAGATATATATGTTGGCTCTCGCACTGTATAAGGACAACGGACCGTTCTCAGCCGCAACCCGGAAAAACTATCGGCGTGGATTTTTGCCGATAACCGATAGTTCCGGGAATCAACTATTGGTGCCGATTAATCGGCAAAACCGATACATCGGTCGACCTCTAATTTAAACTGTGGTACCTTAAATCCGACAAGTTACCCCGATAAGCCAGTAACCCCGCTTCGTAGTACAGGCCACAGCTTTGGTTGGTTTCACAGCAAGCTTTACATATATGTGCAGGAAAGAAGGCGGCAAATTTGGCTTTGCGGAATCAATGGCGAAAGAACGAATCACAGCCCTGAAGAGTGAGATTGCCCCTGTCGAGATGATCGATATTGAGGAGAAGGCCGAGGACATCATCTGCAGAACGGGGGCTCCATGTGACACGTATCCTTCGGTTTAAAGCTGCTGGTCTGACTTTCAGGGAGAGACCTTTGTTAGCTGGAAACATTCTGTGTGCCTGTACGGTTAGATGTGACTGTGCCTTTTTGACCTCCTGCCCTTCCTTGACAAACGGAGTGTCCCCTCACCAGTGGTACGTGCCCCAGGAACAGGCCAGGTGGGAGAGGGCCTGCAGAATGCTTGGGGGTTGGATGAAGTGGAGGAGGAGGAGGAGGAAGAAGATGATATAGAGCAGGGTGGACCTGAAAAACAGCCTGAATCAGAAACCATCACATCTAAGAAAGGCAAGTGTTAATTTATGGGTCATGTTAACTGTCTAAAAATGTATTTTTGTGTTCTTGTGTTCGTGCCCAAAGTGACTGAATTGTACTCTTCTTTTTTCAGGGGATGTTGTAGTTATCTCAGACAGTGAAGAGGAAGAGGTTGTAATATTGCATCAAGGAGTAGAAGTAAAGGATTTTAGGTAAGGCAAATATATGTAGATATTTTTATGTACAGCCCTTTTTGTGATATTGTATTTATTTCTGGTGTTACAAAATGTTGCTATGTACAGTAATTAATTAAATAACTCTTAAGGTATACTTTCCTTTCAGAAGAAAGAATTTTTTTTTTTATCCTTTCATTCAATTAATTTTTTTCCGTCTCCAGTTAATTAAACCTTTTGTTCTGTAGGTCTGTACATTTTATGTAAAATTTAGTTTTGTCTTAAGGAATGTTAACCATTGTTGTGTTGTCATCGTGCGTTTCCAGTAGTTACCTTTAAATTTAGTGATGTCAGAGTTCGCCTTTATGTAAAATAAGAAAATGTTCAGAAAGACCATAAAATGACCACTTTGATTTACTTGTAATGTGGTAGCACTGAACTATCTCCTTGCAACAAAGTGTTCCTTTCTGAAGGGTGGTGTTGGTCACGGGATTGCAGAGTTATTGCCCCTTTAGCCACAAGGCACAACATGTTTAAGAAGCTGCTAACTTTGCTTGTTTTAACAGGGAGGAGATGAGCAGTGGGCAGAAACAAGCTACAAGTGCATCGAAAAAGAAGAAGAAGAAGAGGAAACTTGCCCATTGACAGGCATCTGACTCAAGGAGCACCAGCAGTAAATTACACACTGTATGTCTGCTCATTACGCCTATGAAAAATGTTCATTGAAAATTATATTGATATATTTGGATATTTTGATTAAGCTGTAAGATGAAGTAGCAATAAAGATTAACTGGAGTAAAGAAAAATGTGAAAATCAATGTACTAAGTCAGAGCTCTTCAAATCTGGACGTGGATTCCAAATCCAGGCCGTGTTTTCAGTTCTCCCATGCGGTTAGTTTAATAATTACTGATTTTGATTGGTCAGAGGCTTCACACCTGGCTGACAGTTAAAGGAAGGCTGGAAAACCAGCAGGGTTCAGATGGTGAGGACTGTGATTTGAATAGTCCTGTCCTAAGTGTACCCAAAACACTTGGCTGCATTAGCCACCCTTAATTTGTATACCTGGAAGAAACCCCATGATGACACGGGGAGAACATGCAAACGCCACACGCATGGAACCCTGTCGGAAACTTGAGCCCAGGTCCCAGAGGCGTGAAGCAATCACTGCACCAATCACTGCACCACCGCTAGCCAGCCTTATT